GTTACCTCTCTTGTTGCCTATTTTTCATAAAACTTGCAGCATCTTTGAGACCCTCTGTGCTTCTGTGAAATTCAATTCCAGTTGACCTGAAGTTTGCAAGCTACTGGGAAAGGACAGAACAACCAGCCTCAAAAACAAATTTGGTAGAACTCTTCTTGCCTCTCAAAAGGCAGTGCTGGGCATTTATGACAAACGGGCTGTCAGTTCTCCACCTGAATTTGTTACATATTTGAAACACTTGTCCAGTTTGGTGGCCAGCCTTGCCAACCTGCGCGAAGGGCTGAAAAATCACAAAGGATTAGGGAGCGCAGTGTGGTGGCCGCACGCATTCCCTTAGTGAGGAGCAGAACGAGTTGAATTCCTGCCCTGCTTTCTCGGAGCCTGTGCCAGCTTGACCGCAATGGGCAATGGAACGGCAAACCCTTCTTCTCCTCTCCTTTCCTGCAGCACACTGAGCTGTTAACAGGAGGACACAGCTGAATAGTTTTGGCAAGGAATATCTGGGTGCTTATTTCTCACAGCAGAACTGTTGGAAGGGTTGTGGGTTGTGATGGGAGGCAGCTGGAGAGGCTCTTGCCCTGCATGTTCCCTGTGGCAACGGGTCTCATTCATTTGCTTCAGTTTGCGAATCCCAGGATGTGGCTCTTGAAGTAGGTTCAACTGACAGTAAATTCCTACCAGTCTCACTGCAGGACTGTAAGTTGAACATCTTTGCTTTAGCATAAATCTTTACCAGAGATGTTAATGTCTGGTTAAAATATGCAAATATTTACTGACTTGTCTACTGTTTGTCAGCTTGGCATGCGAGACCTTGGATCTGATCCTTCTGTCTTGGCAGACATTGGGAATTTTGCCAATAACATTAATAGGAACAGCATTGTGCCCTCTAATCTGTTTGTTTATGAAGTACAGCGAGAGTTATCTGGCTAGATGCTTTACGGCGAATTGAAAAAGCATCTGTTTGAAATTTTTTAGGAACTGTCACATGCTTCGACATACCATTATCTTAATGTATGGACCCTTTTGATTCCATAAAATACATCGGTAAGCTGTGAAGCGTGAAAGTGCACAGTCATGAGTTAAACTGCTGTGAAACACTGAAATTGTAGTTCACGATGTTCTCTCCTCCTACATTGATTTTCAGTTTGAAGTTGGACTCATCAGACTGTGGAGTAATTCTTCAAAAGCCTCCTTTGCACCAAGCAGACGTAGTGTTTACTTGAAAATAAATGACTGTGTAGATCATGTTGTTTATCGCTCTTCCTCCTCAAGCTGTCCCTTCTGCCTTTCCCAGCCCCCTCTCCAGTTCTGGAGGGGAAATGTGCAGCTTTATTTGGAGATTAGATTTTACTTACTCTTTTCATGTTTGTTTACAGAATCCCTTTGGCGAGAAGGCAGAATACTCATTAGGAGTATTGAGCCTGAAAATCATTAGTTGTAGGGGGGGGAAAAAAACCAAATCCCTCACAGTTCACTGAAAAAACCCAACAAGTTTTAATTTACACTGGTTGGAACTAACTAGATCTTTGAAATGATATTTGGTTGAAGCTAAGATGAGCACAACTCAGATGAGTCAGTTTTCTTCTGCTTAAAGGCGGGAGTGTTTGGAGGCACTAAGTGTAATGCCAGGGTCGGATTCTGGATTAACCAGTGAGAAAGAGTTTTGTGAACTTGTGTCTGTACTCTAGTCAGCATGATGCTTACTGTCGTGCCAGGTGGTTCACGGGCGCTGTGTTTCAGTACTTCAGTACCTACATTGGAAGCCTTTCTGTAGGCATCGGTGCTGCTGTGGGATGATTCGAAGCTAAGAAGTACTTTGAATTTAGCACTGACAATAAAGGCTCTGTTGAGAAGTTGTCGTGCCTGTATTTCTAAGGTAGATCCACCTATTTTAGGTGTGTAAATTTAGTGGGAATATATGCCTGTTTCTCTAAAGTTTCATAGATTTATTAAGCTTTGCTATTAGAATAAATTGTTACTCAAATGTGAGCTCAGAACTCTTCTGGCATGTGATTCTCCAGGCCATTTTGAGAAAAGGAATAATCCTGACATTTATTCTGTTACATGTTTAGTATTTTAATCTCAGTTTTACCGGCAGAAAAAATGAAGTGCGTTAAGTAATTTGCTCAGTTTTGCAAAGAGAGTTGGCAACGTAGTTTTCAGTACTAATCTGTAATAGTTCCTACTCTTGGAGCGAATGTAGAAATTACAGTTTTACGTTTGAAATTTCTGAAAGCGAACATTTGTAAAGCCCTAAATAAATTTCCTTTGGCAAGTGTCTCCATTTGTTAGCTATTAAAATGTTAACTGTTCTGAAATAATTTTAAACATGGGTAGGTGAGGTACTATGGTAGACTTAGATTTCAAGAACATGTACTTGTAATTTGCATTCACATAGTCTCGTCTCAGTTGCTAATTTAGGTGCAGCTCAGCCTAGCGTTTTGAAAGAGTCATCAGGAAGCGCCAAGTGCCTCCAAGGAACAGTTGAAAGCACCTGGCCTGGAGTCTGAAGTAGGTGGTACCAGTACCCAATAAATGGGCGTGTTTGTGTCCTTACGTGTGGACATAAATGGAATTGAAATGAAATGAGAGAGCCTGGGTTTATCGTTCTCCCTGTGTTACCCATGTACTGATTTTCTATGTTATGACTAGATTTTTTTAAAACAAATTACACTGTGGCAGCTCCTTATCTATCACAGTGTCCTAAATGCCGTGACTTCAGTGAGTTTTTTACTTACACTCTGAAAATACTGATGGTGTGACTCAAGTTTAGCCAGTTATCCAAACACCCTGCTCCTGACTTCTGCTGGCTCCACTTAGCTTAAGCCACGGGTTTTTGCTGAGGGTCAGTTATGTCCTCTGAAGTGTTTCTGTAAGCTGTCTGAAAATTGAGTGGCTTTTGCAGTACAGTAGGCAACTGCTGGGCTGTAAAATCTGGCTTCTTCTCAAACCGAGTAGTTCAATATTTATCAAAACAGCCAGCGTGAGACAATTGATAAGTAACGTGTTTTTCTTTTGCGTGGTGCCGTGTTGGAGAGGAAAAGCTGGAGAAGGAAGCTTTCAAATGCCTGTCAGTTGTGCTGGCCAGGTCAGTTAAGACGGGATCTGCGTATAATCAGTTCTTCGGGAATAAACACACAGAAGCTCGGCTCAGACTTTTGGCCAAAGGAATTTTGGTTATATGTCAGGCAGGAAGTGAGGAAATCAAAAGTACAGCAGAGTTCATGAAATCCTCTCTTTTCAGTCCCTTAGGAGGAAAACAGAATGTACATGGGAAAAACATCAATTAACTATTGTATTACTATTGAAGCGCATCCTGGCTTTGCAGACTTGGCTGTGGCCTAAAATGTGAAATGGCAATCGATGTAATTTTCAGTTGTATCTAGAGAGGATCCTTGAATAAACAGCTTAAGAAGGCCTAATGTTTCTATAATTGAAAATACATGCTTAAGTGATCCAGTTGAGTGTCTTTAATGTTAATAGAATTACTTCATTAATGAATTTTCTTGTACGTCTGGAAATGCAAAACCTACTTGCTTGTTCCTTTTCTGTTTGAAAACGAGGACTTTCTAGGAGAAGAAAAAATACCTGAATGAATGAGGTAAAGTCATCATTGCAAGGTCATTATTAAGAAAGAGGCATATGTCACAGATTTGTATCAGGATAACTGTGAAATATTCATGCTTATTTTTCTCCATTTTTGGGAAGATATGTTGTTGTACAAAGAACTTTTATATAAATGTTGTAAAAGGGAAGGTGGTTTAAGTAAAAGTTGTCTTGAAAAATCAATATTCCTCTATGTTTCTATATGGATACTGAAAAGTCTTGTTACACTTCCACTGCGAATTGGCTTAGGCGTGTGTTAATAAGTGAGATAGTGAATTATTTTTCATATAAGGAGAATGCATTTGTTTGACCTTCAGATTAACTTCTGGAAGTTATTTTACCTTAATTTGGTTGAAAACCTAAAAATATCACGTATAGGGGAAGTTTTGTTAGCAGTGCAAGTGGGCTAAAGATAGTTATTTGAGATGATCTTAATAGTTGATACATAATCACAAGTATTGATAGTGTGCTGCTTGCTACAAATAAAGATGAGGACTGTTACACTTTTTCCATTTTTTCAGTTATCAGAACACATTTTTGTGATGTCAGCTTGAAAGTACAGAGTCTCTAGGGATGTGTATCGTGTATTTTGAATATTGTGTCCATGGAGGGAGAATGTAGACAGGGATGACAGAGGTGCTTTGCTTTACTGCTGGTCCTTTCGATTGGAGATAACCATTTGTCTCAGCTTATTGGCAGATAACGTTGTCCATCTCATGTACAGATTTTTATCACAACTGTGTCAATTTTTTCTCCCTGAAAACATGTAAAATGGTTTAAGCAGTTCTGCGTAAAGGTATTGGTGTGGGAGGGGTATCTCGGCTTTTTCGGGTGTAAATGGCAATAAAGCAAGAGGAGGAAGAGACCAGCGGTTGGTTCCCTGTTGACCTCCAGTTCTTGCTCGTTCACCCTTGTGCACCTACGTTGCGCTCTGGCCACCTGCAGAACGCGGCTCCTTCCCCTGAGCGTAGGTGAGAAGTGCTCCGAGGAGAAAGGGGCCTTGGAGTCAACGACTGCGGGCTTGGCCAAAGAGCAGTTGGTGAAGGAGCTGTGTCGCTTCCAGAGCAAAGATCACGCTGCCGGGGAAGACCCCAAAGCCTCTACGTAGCGAAGTGCTTAAACCCCTGCGGATTTTAAAATCTGATGCCGCTACTTACATTCAGTCACGAGCTTAAATAAGTTCTCGAATTAACATTGAAACCGAGAACTTGGAGTGACGGAGACAAGCCCGGGCAGAGGTTAGGTAGCGGAAAGCTGGGGCTGGGGCATGCGAACGGCGTCAACCGCAGGGGCTGCGACACGACGCCTCGAGGTGGGAAGGGAAGTTGGTTGGCGAGTTGTCGCTGCCGTTACTCAGCTAACCAACGTTTTATCGTCCCCTCTGCCCCCGCTCTAGGCTTTCTGTCCCTGAGTCATGGCAGACAGAAGACCAGAGAAGTCATGTGAACAAGCACGTGAATCTCTGAAGCAGCAGGACTATGAAGTGGCAGTGAAGCATTGCACAGAGGCTCTCCTCTCCCTCAGCCAGTATCCCCCAGCTCAGCTCCCGGAGGCATGCCAGGCAGAGATCGACCGCATCAAAATCGAGACGCTTCTCTATAGAATCGCTTCCTTTTTACAACTTGTGAGTGTGACTCTTTACTAGTATCTAGTCAACTGGAAAGAACGATCAAATCTCTTGTACCGTCAAGATTTAAATAAAAGCTGGGGTTTGCCTGTGATTGACGTGTTGGTTTGCCACAGAATCCCTCTTGCCAAAGCAGATAGGAGGCTTCTGTCGTTTAGTTTGCTCTGATGTGTTTATTTTTCAGGATTGGGACCTCTAAGTAGTCTGGATCTGAATCACAGTTCTCTAAAAGAATGAAGAAAATTACTATTAAAAAAAATAAATCCATAAAGACAAAATATGTGGGTTTTATACTTGTACAGTTATGCTGAATTAAATACCAAATTACCTCATCTTTAAAGAGCATGATATTAAGGTTGCAAATCTGAACACTCAGAAAACAAAGTTAAGAAATGCCATTTTTCAGGTAGTTGGTTCATACTTAATTTAGCTCCATTTGCATACGCCTAACATTGATCTTTTAATAGTTGATCGTATACTGGTTTTCCATTGCTAGGCTAGACCCTACCTCGTGAAGGATTTAACTTTTAGGCTCTGGCAGACTTTTAATAGAGATATGAAAACTGGAGTCTTGGTAAATGTTTGGAAATACAAGTCAAGAGGCATAAACCTGAATTTTGGGTGGTCCCATTGCCAAATTGGTGTCCTTCCTTTAAAGCAGCAGAGACCTGTAGTTTCTTGAAAGGACATCACAGTGGTTAAGAATAAACCTACAACCAGCTTAATGAACGTATCTTTTTCTTTACCTTTCTGTTTTGGAAATGTTATAAGAGATTTACAGGGGCCTTGTCCACCCCAAATCTTCATGTTTTGGATCTGAACTGTTTCATCCCAAGTGGAGAATTTTGGCCAAGCCCTTGCTGGGCAGCTTTAAGTTAAATCTTGCCTATCTGATCATGGAGCATTTTAAAGCATTTTTTTTTTAAATGGATAGCTGAATTGAGCTATTGAATGTGCAAAATAAGACTTGGGGAAACTTCTTAATTTAAGATTTGACCTATCTTGTGGCTCCTGAGAGAAAGAGATTTGGAAATAACTAAGGTGTGGGTTTTTTTCTTCCCCCTGGAAGTTGTGTTACTACAGACTCGTCTTCTCAAAATTATTTCCACAGGCCGGTATGTAGATGGGTGCTTAGCCCTGTTTAATATATTTCTGACCTTGATGTCTGTTTGTTTAAAATTTTGAGAAAAAGTCATAATTCTGAGAATTAATTATATAATATTTGATATGTGTTCCACCTAGGAAAAGACTAGGTAATGAATTCTAAAAAGTTTTAAGAAACTTATAATTGAAGCATGTGGTTGTTTATGCTAACTGGAATAATCCTATTTTTAAACTTTTCATGTTTTACCTTTCAGAAAAAATATGGGCAAGCAGATGAAGACTGTAGGCATGGTATGCTTATTTCTTTTTTTATTACATAGTGTTATAAATTGCAGTTAGTTGTCTGAATTTTTAAAACTGGTGCCTGCATTTTGTTTGCTGTTTTTTTTTTTTTCCTAGTTGAAACCATGTATCTGTCATTAGAATACCTTTTTTTTGTTGTTTGAAATCACGCTATTTTGTAACTGTATTGAAGTACCAGAACTCAAATGCCTGTCTCTGGCACGGTGGGGCTAGCTGACTAATAGATCTTTCCGTGTACAAATGTAGATAAATTGACAGTAGGAGGATTCTTGTGAAGATGAAGGCAGCTGCTTGTGCCGTCTTTCTTCCTAGAGACATGGTGGATATTTTGGTTTGTGTTTTGGGACTTGATTCAGAGGAAATCAAGATGATGTACTTGCATTTATTCTTATTTGTTCAGGTTTCCAAATGCAGACATGTCACGTTTTCGCTGCCTTGTTCCGTTGGGGTATTTTTAAAGGAATTAACCATCCTTCCTAATGTTCTGTTACTCATGTGTAGTGTGAGTGATTTAAAACTCGCTGAGAACTCTTTGCTGAGTTTGGTAAGCGCTGGAAGAGAGTTTATCAGGTGGATTTGGAAAGAAAAGGTGGACAGAGCCCACCTTTCAGTTTTTCAGTTCCTTAACTACTCTTGAATTTTAGAGGAAACTCCATCAAACTACCGTTCTGTTACACGTACTGTGTAAAATACTCACCTGCCGTTCCCGTCCTAGCAATGCTGATCTTTAAAACGTTCCTTTTTGGTTTTGTGTGGGAGTTTTTTTGGGGTTGTTGGGTTTTTTTGCTTGCTTGGTTTTTTTTAAATACATTTGTCTTCACTGATACTCACGTCATAGTCTGGGGAATTGTGGGGCTCTGCAGCCTGCTTGTGGAGGTTTACAAAACACGCCTAAGAAAAGTAAACTTGCTTTCTGTAGGTGTGAAATGAAAGTTAAAAAAAATATACAAAGGCTGAACGTAGCTTAATCAGTACCATTCTTAAAATAGTCTGGTTTTTTTTTTTTAAGCTGCTGCTACTTTTAACTGTGATATATGCCAAGGGTGTAATATTCTGACTAACCTCACAGTTGTCTTTCATGGTGGCAAATAAAAGCGAGAGAGAGGCATATGGAATGATGAATGATGGTTAAAGGAGGTAGGAGGGCGAATGCTGTTTAATGACTCGTATTCTCATTGATGAGATCTGGTGGGTTTGTCATAGGGATAGATGGATGACATTAATTTGTGAAACTTTTTCTTGGCATATGTGTCAGTTATCAGGATCTCAAAGGAACTGTTAACTATTTCTCATATCTCACTGGATGGGCATAGAAGTGGATGAAATCTCCAGTTGTTTTTTTTTTTAAATTAAGTAGAGAAAACAGCTTTCAGATGTATATTAGTAACAAAATAATAGCGTCCAGTTTAATGTTTATTTTCTTAATTAATGCCTGCAGGCTCTGTAAATAATTTTTCCAGATCTAAAACTCAGGACACTTTTCAACTTTTAATACCATATTTATGTATGTGTGTAAAAATGGGGGGGGTGTATGTATTTGTATACACATCCCCTGTATTTTTATGAATATATGAATGAATCATTTGGTTGTGGTTCCCTGTGATGTGCTGTTGCATCAATTGTAGCCCAGCATTTCACAGTTCAGCATATCTGCATTTATGATCCTAAAAGGGCTTAGGTTTAGTTTTATGTTTGAAATATCCTTGGGAAGAAACAACCTTAGTATGGGCGACCTGATAGTCGTACTTGTTGATACTAAACGTTTCTGTTTTAATAAAGTTTTATTCAAGCTGCTGTTCTGTCTTTTTACAAGACTTGACATGTTGCATACGTATTCCAGTGTTTTGGGGTTTTTTTAACCCAAAGCACATTTTGCAGTAGCTGGAGAAATACATGTTTTTTACAACGTGCTGTTACAGGGAATGACGGTAGCTTACAATCTGTTCAGTTATTCCACAAATCTTTTCCTTAAAGGTCCCAATTCCTGTGTTGTGACTTTTTCTGTGCAGCTCTGTGCTTTAGCTTGGTGATGCCATGCGATGAATGGTATGAAATATGGTAATTGGACATCTAGTCTTTGAGGTTAAAATAGCAAACTGTCAGACATGTTAAAGCTATTTCTGGCGCTGCTGCTTCTGATTTGGGAAGTAAGCTCTATTTTTGGAAATGTGGTCAGTATCATCAGAGCGAATTCAGACTACTGTGAGGCACATTATGAACAGGATCTAGTTACCATCTCATTTTGAAGGGATGTCTAGTTGTTTTTATGAAAATGTTTTGTGGGACTGTTTTTTGGGTTTTTTCCCTTTAGTCTTTCGTGCAGTTTCTGTTAACGATGTGAATGTGTTGAGTGAGGAGTTTCTGATTTATTATTGTAAAATGTAATCCTGAAGTTGTGGTGAATGCAAAATTCCTGTTGGCACCAACAGGAGCGGTTTGCATCTTCTGGACAGGTTATATATATATATATATGTGATTAAGTGTTATTCCTGCTTGTCTGAATCCCGTCTATATCATGAAATAAATCCTTTCACTATTGGAAGTGTCTGTTTGGGTAGCTATCTGATCCAGTGCTAGAAAGCGTTAGGAAAGTTTTCTGTTGCATGGAGCCTGTACATTTCTGGACTCAAACAATCGTTTCTATATCCTGCAGTTTAGAGCATAAGTGAATAAAAGCCCTTTTAAAGTAGCAGGAATTGACCACGAGGAGGTTGGCTATATTTGGAAACGACAGGGCATGCTTTTTGTGAGCATGAATGGATCTTCCTGAGCATGTTTGTGTTACTGAGAGGTTGTTGGTTACTGCTTTTTTTTTCCCCTACCCTTTCTGTGAAGAGGAGGTCTTTTGCGTCCATGTGAGATATTTGAATTTAGCCTTCCCGTATTTAATTTTTGTCTATTTTAGCATGAAACGTTCCAACCTTTTTTGAGCTCACGTACAGCATTTCGTAAATGGCATGAGACAAGTTTCAGGTTAATATTAGACAAGAGCAAGTAGTACTTCCTTTACATCCAAGACTTGTCTTTCCAAGAAACCATGGATTCAGCTCCAGTTTCGGACTTTATTTTTGTGTTAAAAGTGAAGGAAAACTGCATATAGTTTACTCTAATGTATGCTGTGATGAAGCTAATAGCTGCTGATTTGTGTTGCAGTGCTGGGAGAGGGGCTGGCCAAGGGAGATGGATCTTTCCGTGCAGTGCTCTGCTGCATGCATCTTAAAGGGAAGCTGCAGATTGTGTCTAATGTTCTTTCCAAATCACTGATGGGTGAATCACTGGTAAGTGGGTTTGCTGCCATCTACGCAATTTAAAAAAGCAGTTTTGTATTTCCTTTTTTTTAACAGACGTGTTTAGTAACAAACTTCTGAACATATGTTTGACTGGCAGGTTGCAACAAAAATGATTGGTGTGGAAAGGACAAAGATAAGTATATGGGCACACATATGTCAGCAGGATACCGGGGCTGTTGTATTAGCGGTGTTTCAGAGACATGATTTTGGAAAGTTTTTTGTTGTTGGCTCTGAATCCTCAAAATAATTTGCATATTCATGCGATTGATTAGAATAAATTAAACCTGAAGCTTTTGCTTACTTTTTGTAAGTTGCACCTGACACTGTTTTGTATGTACTTCAAGAAGTTTAGCCGTTAAGGCAGAAAAATTACTGATGGGACTTTTAAATAACTGGCCCATGATAAGTTGTAAGACAGCATGAAAAGATTTTCAGGAAAAAAAAGGAAAAAAGCTTTGCATTTCAAGATAAAAATAAAGGTTGGAGTTCAGAGTTTCTGTTTTACTCTTGAACTGTCAAAACTTACAAAGATGCTTTTAAGCCCATACATATAAGTAACTGTTCTGACTTACATGACTTCTCATATGTGGAAAATCAGGGACATGTATAAATCTCAAAAGGATAGTGTCCTTTTTATTTCTGTAATCTAGATTAAATACCATGTGGTTCACCATGAACTGCTGGTGATGCTCCATCCAGAACCATGGTCATAGCACACACAAGAGCAGCTCTGGTCAGACCGTGAGGAACATGTGAGTGACATCAGAAACTGCTGTAGGAGAGCCCGTTACCTGGAAATTGGATCGTGTCTCTATATCTTGGCGCTTAACTCAAGGAGAAGATTGTTTTTGAAAGGGAGTTCTGTTTGTCTGTCTGGTATATATCCTGAATTCCCTTCCTCCCTGCCATTGGCTATTTTTACATAAAGAAAAGGTTCAGGTTTTTTCCCTTTTTTTAGCTAGTGTTTTCTAGTAAAAAAAAATGCTTCATTGAAAAAATTCCCGGTGAGGTCGAAGGAAACTTGCCTTCAGGAAAAATTAGTAAAATAGCCAAAAGCTCCCCCTCACAGGAAATGTACGGTGCCTTTGTTTTGAGCTATTATTGTGCAAATAAAGGTAGCTTCATATATAATTCCAGCATGTCATCCCCAAGCAGAGTTTGAGGGGTTTTTACTGACTTGAGGTTGTTAGACACAGTTGTTTTCAGTAGGAGTATTAAAATCAGCAGCTGGTTTACTGACTTGTGCCATTCTCTGAGAGAAGAAATGAAGCAAAATTTTGGAATGAATTTATTGAATAATAGGAATCCATCCAGTTTCCTCCCCAGTGACTTAAGAGAGAGATTCTTGTTAACATTTTTGTGTTTGAATGGCTTTAAACTCAACAGGTTTGATTTGCAGCCTTCTGGTGAAGAAAGCGTGAGAACTATTGAGTGTGTAAGTCTTCAGCAGAGAGTAACTTCTGCTGCTCGGTAGCACAGTCAGAATGTGGAGAAGTCTGACAAATGTAGTAGCACTTAGATTTCTGCAAGACATTACTGAAAGGAAAACCACACGTGTGGGTTCCTTTAATCAAAGTTTTGACTTAAATGAGTGTGAAATTGTTACACTTAGCTATGTATTTCAGATAAATTCAATTTTGAAAGATTTTTGCTTCAGAATACGTAGTTATTTTTAGTTACATGGCTAATCTTTGCTTCTTAGTGAAAACTTCAGAAATTACATGGTCTACATCAGAGCAGAGTTATGAAACTCTAGAAGCTGGTGATCCGTAGAGTAGGTCCTTGAGAGGAAATGAATCCATCACTGCAGCAGCAGTGAAAGATTATTATGTAAATTCCTTTAGAGCCCAAGTGTTTCAGTAACCATAGCATTTACCTCAGTAGCTGACAAAGTGCTCTGTGAAGACAGTATCACCATCCCCATTTTGCAGATGGGAAACTGAGGCACGGAGAGGTGAAACGACTTGCCTAAGGTCACCCAGCAGGCCGGTAGCTGAGCTGATAATAGAGCATAGATCTCCTGAGTCCGTGTCCGTCGGGCTTTCCTGCCTCCGTGGCTCCTGTGCGTGCAGGGTGCTGCTCTGGAGGAGAGCGATCAATAAGTGTTGTAGCTATTTAATAATTGCCTTGAGTGGCAGCTAAACTTCATAAGTATTTTTTTTCCCCCAAGTTGTTCTACGTATGCTGCTCTCCTGCCTTGTCCTGTATTGGTACTTGCTGTAAGTCTAGTGCTGGTTTTGGCCGGTGTAGAATTCCCTTTTTCACCGTGATGTTTGCTCAATGTTCCGTAGTTTGTCATCGAAAGTTGTGCATTGTAAGTCAGACTCATTCTTCCTTCTTGCTCTTCCCCGTGATGGTGGTATGGGGGGAAATGAACTTGGTTGCTGTGGTCTAAGGCATGTGAAGGTTTATGTGTTTGATGTATTAATATTCTTTCTCCCTCCAGAACGGGATGGTAACTAAAGATCTGACACGACTGAAAACACTTCTTGCTGAAACAGAGGTAATAATGAGCATAGGATTGGGAACTAACGGGCAGTACCTGAAGCGGCTGAAAGGCTTGTTTTCGTGTCCCCCACGAGATCTGGGCTCACACATTATTGTTTCCACTGATCTTCCCACCTACATGTTCAGGAGCCTTTCATCACAGTCTCGCACGATGTTTGAGGAGATAAAGATGCTAACAGATTGTTGACTCTCTTGTAGTGGCAAGTAGAAAGAATTCAAAGTGCTTAGATCTGTATTATTTATCTGTTGGGTTTTTTTCTTTGTTGGAAATGATTCTGAAGTAATAAGCATGACTTAGGGAATTGGTTAACAAATGTAAATGGCCTCTCAATCACCCTCTTTGTGTTAGAGATTGATTTCTCATGTCTATTATTAAGTTGCCACTTGTTTTTTTTAAACTTTTCCCCTTATGCTTTGCCATCGATTTGAGCTTTATTTTTAACATAGATTCAAAGCTGGAAGACATCTCAATACCATTTAGACTTTTGCCTTGTAAAAACTTAACTGCAGTCCACATTAAAACAGTCATGGGGTAGAGTTTGGTCTTGTAAAAATCTCTAAAATTTTCTTCTAACAGTGGGGGACTCGGTGTTCCTGTCAGAATTCCCTTTAGCAATGGGTGTAAGGTTAATATGGAAATCATGTTGGGATTTCAGACTTCTGATTAATATTTTTGTATTGGTTGTTCTAAGACACATCTTGACAGAAAAGAAGACAAAACAGTTCTTGTTGATGAAATTGTTTTGTGTTCTTTTATAACTGTGGGGTTTTTTATATGATTGTAGGCAGCTGGTAAAGTACCGTCAGGATATCACGTGGAAGATTTAGAAGAAGGTATGTAACTCGATTCTGAAGCTGCTTCGTTTTGTTGTGAGAAGACTTGGATTCTTCTGCATGCTCAGCACTGCACAGCAGTCAAAAAGCAAAAACGGGACTTGGCTATTATGATGAGCCCTGGGGATTGGGGTAGAATCGTCTCATCATTGACTGAATTTGGAGGCAGAAGCTTCTATTTATTGGTCCAAGTGCTGTATCGGAGCCTGCTCCATTCTGCAAATTGTTTGAAACTCACTTTCATAACCTTTGGACCTTTGTTCCAGATGAATTTGTTAGGGATTGATGGTTATTTTTTGGTGGATCACTTGCTTGTGTACAAATACGCTCTGGATTGATGTTTAGAGATACAGTTCCCTAGAGAGTTACTCTCTTGACTCAGGAGTACTTGACAGTCAGAAAAGTAACCTAAGTTTTCTTTACTCTGCAGGGTCAGGGGATGGCTGGCAGTTCCGCCCTCCACCCAGGGGAGTCACAAGCAGTGAAGAATACACACTATGTAAAAGGTAAAGTCCTTGCTGTATATCTTCAAGGGATCATAATGTTTCCTCTTTTATTTGGCTGCTGACAAAGTGGTTAAGAGGTCAGGAGAAAGAAAGTGCTTGTTAGAACAGCAGTTCATTCACAGATTTTTTTGGAAGGGTCAGTTTGTCCAAGAACACTTCAGTTTATAAAATGGAATCACTACCTCGATTTTCATAACAGAGTGCTTTGAGGACCATTTTTCTAGGGGCAGGTCAGCATCTGTCTTTCTCTCCTACCTTTTCTGTTTTGTGCAATTTCAGAGACGTGAAAAATTCCCACCAGCAACAGTGTGAGGAGACTGAAGCCCAGTGAGGTGTGCTTTGACAGCAGATAGGGTACATGCCTTCAGATAAATGGGCTTTGTCTTTGGATACCGAAAAATATTTGTAGCATTTCCCCCTGGATCTCATTATTTCCATTTTGCGTAAGCTCTAACACACAGGGCTGAACTGTCTCGCTGAAGATCCGGTGGCTTGTCTTGCAGTTTCTCCTTTCAGTCATCCAGTCACCATTGCCTGTGGTGTGTGTTGTTAATTGCTATTAATTACATAAAGCTGTCTTAATATATGTGGGGAGGAACCACTGTTATGCACTTGATTCTGCAATCTATGTAACTGATAGAAATAAGTTACTTGAAAAGCGTGAGCAGGAATCTGACCTGCTCTTTAAATGACGTGACTGAATCGCTGGATTTGGGCTACTTTTGGCATGATTTGCTAGAGATGCTAAATCGTGGCAGCTCTCATTGACTTTATCATACCTGATGCATGTTCAGCAATTTTAAGAAAAGCAGGTATTTCCGATTTTTAGCTCATTATGATTTTCTATTGAGTAACGTCTATATCGTGTTTCCACCCATTGCTCTGAAACATTTTTCCACTAAAGCTGAGATTAGCTTTATGCACACTGTTAACCCTTACAGCGAGAAGGATGTGCCTTACGTAGCAAATTCATAGGAACAATATTGTTTTGGCCACGGACTAGAGATTTTAGTTCCTTAGGAGGAGGCAGTTATAGGTACTGAATATGAATTTTTGAAGCTGTGGTTTATTTCTCCCCTGTGTGCCATAAAGCAGTAGGAGTACAGCATATTTATTCTAGATAATGAAGGTATGGAATTGCAGGAGGTATTAAATAAGAAACTAGAGCTGAGAAAAAAGTGTCTATTAAAAATATGAACAATGAGAACTTGGAAAACTTGCATAATGATGACAAATTTTAAAGTAATATGCTTTGCTGTTAAATAATGAAAACAACTTGATCTAAAAATTGCTATATAGGTAATATTTTATGCTTGCACTCCATTTACTTTGGGCCATGAAAATCATAATTATACCTCAGCATTCTAATGCAGTGGTGAATTGGAAAATATACAATAAAATACTGAAATTGACTGCCAGGACAAATATTTTAATTTGTGATATATTAGGGGACATAGCTTGAGAATGCCTTTAGTAACATTGTTATATATATCAGAGTTATTTTATTTACCATTTGGGCATGCAAACCTTTAAATCCTTAAACTTTTCTTAAAGGAAAAGTGTAAGTTAAATCAAATTATAACCACTGATACAAGTGTGGCCTGGATATCTGGGTACTTTTGCTGCAAGTTTTCATGTCACAGTCAGATGTTATTTGTTTTTGTCACATAGCTCCAAGTTCACATTCTAATTCACGTTATGTTACATGAGGCATTTACTGCAGAAAGGTTATTCAGCCACAGATCCCCTTCTGCTGTCTTCACCAGCCATGTGGGGTCCTGACTCGCTCTATTAATTTAGTCTTGGTGCGTCTTTGCTTTCTTCCAGTAACTTAGCACGGCAGGAAGAAATTCTTAATATAAGTATATACATTAACTCTTTATAGTTGTCTTATGCAAAACAAACCAATGAAACAACCTCCTGGCCTGGTGTTTATTCTCTATATCCAGGACTTCCGTAATACCTTCAGAACTTAGCCCCTCTGCCCCTGCATTTTCTCCTTCATTTTGTCATCTGTTTTTTGAGTGCTTCAGTTTGAAGCATGATGAAGATGCAGCTGCCACCTTGTATTGTATGATTTTAAAAATAGTTCCCAAGTTACACAGGCGTTTGCCCAGACTTGCAATAAATTCTGAAGTCTAGGATGCTGAAGTTGTACGCAGGTGTTTGGAGTATCATTAGTTTTGATGCTTCAGCACATGCTGAAAAAATGAAAAATGTTCTTCCTTAACAAATTGTTAACCTGAGCAAAGATAGATGCTCCTAGACTGATACACCCTTTACAAAGAGGAGGGTTAAACCTTTTCCTTGAGAGATGGTTTCTGTGTAGGTGTATTTCTTAGAAAGGACCATCTGATGTCACTGTTGCTCCAGGAAAAACTGCTGAATGAGTATTTATGAGCTACTAATATAACTATTGGAGAAAATTATGCAATGTCTTCCTTTTGCCCCTGATTATAACAGTATTTTGTTCATATTAATACAGTTCCTAGTCATTGCAGGGATGATCCGTGATCTCCTTTTCTTAACTGCTGTACAAACACCTGATTCTTTCTTCTCTGTTGCTGGGCATTTCTTAAGAATTTGTCCCCCTATGTTTCAAAGAAATGTGATACACTTCTCTGGACTTAGCAGTGAGAGAGAGGCTCCTGCCTCTCTTACAAAATGCTGCGTTCATATATGTGTTTCCAGATTAGTTCACGTGGACTAAACTGCCTTTAGGTCTGTGAGAGAGACTTAAAGAATGTCCTTCTGGCTTTAAAAGTAAAATTTTGATAAATTTCTTTTCTTAATTGGAAATGGAAAAGTTCCAGGCATAATCGTTTTTCCTATTTTATGTAGATTTTTAGAGCAAGGGATCTGCAGGTACGGTGCACAGTGTACTTCAGCACATTCCCAGGAAGAGCTAACAGAATGGCAAAAACGATATGCTTCCCGCTTGATCAGATTAAAACAGCAGAAGGAAAACAAACAATGTTCGGGCAGTTATATGGAAACCTTGATTGAGAAATGGATGAATTCGTTATCTCCTGAGAAAGTGGTAAGGAAAATATACTACTTCCCTATGTGCTCATATTTAAAACTAACAGATGAGCCTGTTTTTGGCCCTTACTATCAGAGCTGGTCGAATTACTCGTTACCAAGAAATTGTCCAACCAATTTACTCCCCTTTCCATCCTGCCCTATGTCTTCTTGCAAAGATACCGGAGACTCTGGCTGATTTCTGCAGATTCTTTTCAGGAATTGAGTAGAGTTTGTGAATTACAGCTTGTGGGTCAATCACTGCTTCCTCACTTTGCGTATTTACTATTCCCAATGCTGGATGGGTCGGCCAAGTCTCATGGTATTGTTCCTGTTCCTTAACTAGATGGCAGCAGTTTTTTAAACTGGAGAACAATAAACGGCGAAGCTTTCATGACTTAGGGGAGAATACTCTTGTTTGTGCATGGCTCCTTTTCCTTGCCTGCAGCTTCAGGCACTTGTATGAAGAACAGCTGATCCCCCAAAATGTTCAAAAAGTTTGGATACTGAAGAGTGTGGGGTATGACTGTGATCCAACTTAGCAGCCGTTTGGAATTCCAAAGAATGTTTTTGCAGCATTCGACCAGCTCTACTTACCACTGACCCTAAGGAGTTTTCGGTCCATCTATTGTTGATTAAAATCTGGGAAGAGTGGACTTCCTGAAAAATGCATTAATGTGTAGAAAGCCTGATTCTAGTTTCCTGGTGTCTCTAGTAGTCTCATTGGTGTCAGTGAGATCTGGGGTCTTCTGGAAATGCAGTCTTTGGGCCTCAAATGAAATCATGTTCTATTTCAAACATTTACAATTAAGTTGATTTTGGAAAATCAAGTCCTGTGGTTAATTGTCCTTAAATGATTATATTGTTTGCTTACCCAGTATGATTTGGTAGATTTGGCTTCCTTGTCTCTCTGAATTAGCATATATTTTCATTAATTCCTGTGCGGGACTTGCGTCCTGCATGTTCTAGGAAACCATTCTTTCCATGTTCTGTTAAAAATACTGCCTTTTCCTGAATGTTTTTCTTCTGATACTGCCTGTAGAAGTTTAATGTTGTCTTCTTTTTCTTTTAATCTAGCTTAGTGAATGTGTAGAAGGAGTGAGAGTAGAACATAATCCTGAGCTATCGGTAACTGTCACCACCAAAAAGTCTCATCAGACATGGACATTTGCTCTCACTTGTAAGGTAGGACTACTTATCTTTTGATAGTGAGTCAGTAATAACTAGAATGCAGCCCATAGCCTTTTGCAATTAAGATTTTAGTTGCTTCATTCCTCTTAAAATAGAGAATCTTCCTAGCACCATTCCTTCTCTCTTTCTTTTCCCAGCAGCTCTGGCAATAATGTATTGACTGCCCAGATTTCTGGAAAGCAGGCAGGACTTGTACCTACTCTGAGAAGTTGAGAGTTCTTACAAGCTCTCGTTGTCTGCTTACAAATAAAGATGTTCCTGAAATAATTTCAGTTTTCCAACATACTGTCGTTTCAACTTTTGCATTTTTTTTATAGCCTGCAAGAATGCTGTATCGAGTGGCATTGCTTTATGATGCCCATCGTCCACATTTTAGTATCGTTGCAATATCTGCTGGAGACAGCACTACCCAGGTATCACAAGAAGTTCCAGAAAATTGTCAGGAATGGATAGGAGGAAACATGGTCCAGAACGGAATAGATCATTATATATACAAAGTCAGTATAGCCTTTAACACGGAAATCTTTGGAACTTTTCGCCAAACTGTTGTGTTTGACTTTGGATTAGAACCAGTCCTCATGCAACGAGTAATGATTGATGCTGCTTCAACTGAAGGTAATGTACTACATTTTTCTTTTCTGGAATAGTGGAAGTCTTTCATTCCATCTCCTTCCTGACTAGGATTGTCAAAGGCAAGAGGCAAAGTGTAGGCTTGTAACTCAATGAATTGCTGTTGCCATGAATTTTGAAAATGTAACGGAAGTGTAATTAGTTTTGTGTGTATTCAAGTAAAAAAAAATTAACTGCATGTTACTGTAAGGGTTGTATTCTGTTCGTGAAACTGATCTGTGCCTCAGCTCAAACCTGAAATAACTCTGTTATCAGAAAGAAGTCAATGAATTGGACTGCCCTAAGTGATCCTGCTTTGGTGGGGCATTGGACTAGAGGATCTCTAGACGTCCCTTCCAACCCCTTATGTTCTTTGATTCTGTGAAAAAAGAAGGAAGCACTTGGATTTATGGTTAAAAGATTAAGAGAGCTAGATATAGGTCACTTTATTACTTGGCAGTGAGCAAGGACATGGGATAGAGTGTGGTAACTTTTTATGAAAATCTGAGACATACAAACACCAAAGAAACAATTGTAGCGCTGGGATGTAAGCAGGAAGAGGAATCAAAAGGAAAAAGAAGAAAGAAAAGATAAAACTAAGAAAACAGCGGTTTTCCATTCCTGGCATTTATTTTCATGTAACAGGTTAATATTTGCAAGAATAACAAGAAGAAGCAGTAAATAGCAAATACCAAAGATCATGAACTGATCTTCCCAGGTGACCCAAGTGCTTGTAGCCAAGGGCAGGAAGGCTCTCGGAGTTGTGATGTCTCTTGAAGCAGAGAACGTTGCACGGTGAACAAGAAACTGTGCTGAAAAACCAAGCGGTGCTCTTTTCAGGAACTGCTGTATGATCACCACGTACCAGTGTGGGTGATCACAGCCGACAGACTTCCCAAGCCAGTGCCTTTGTGGAGAGCAGGTGTCCTTTTGTTGGGAACCTGTCTGAGATGAGGGAGCCAAGGCGTAACTTGCCGAGCGAGTTACTCTCGGAGCAGCCTGCGGTCTGAGCCCTTGCTGGCTTAAACTGTCTGCTCACCACGGCGACATGAGGAACAGCCAGTTCAAGTCCTCATGAGAGTGATGAAGTTGAGATGGCACTGTGACCCTAGTTCCTGATAACTCCTTTTCACACCTTGCCTGGCTGTGGGCAGAGGGAAACCGAAGTCGTTGAGCAGGTTGTTACTGTTATTTATTTCCAATGAAACGAGTGGTAGGTGCTTCTATGTGAAGTGTGCTGGGCTTTTCACTAAGGTTATTGAACAATTGCGTAAGCAGGCAAGGGGAAGGGGTAACTATGTTGTTCGTGTGCCTGATTCTGCTGTTCCTTTTAGTTTTGTTGTTACATATAAATTGGGATCTCATGGAAGTACTTTTCAAACAGAAAGATGCCTGAGCTCTCTACACTTGCCTGTATTTCAGACCCTGTCTAGATTTCTAGGCAGGAAAGAAAGGTCAACATGAAAATATTTTAATGGAAGAGCCTCCATTAGGCATTTTGAACTCTTTATTTGTTCTGGAAAAAGAGAACTGAGAATTTTTCTGTGCACTGAGAAATACACAAAATGCCCTTTAAGAAAGGGGCACCGTACGTGCAGTCTGTGCCAGGAGCTGGCTTCCTGTGGGGAGCTCCCTAGCGCTGGGAATTAAATGACTGTCTTTCTAGCAAGCAAGGACGCAGTCCCAGCATAATTACGGAGCTTTTGTGATCTGAGGGATGGTTAGTACCAGAGAAAGCTTCATTTATGGTGAGATGATTTCAAACACAGAAACCACACAAACACGGACTTTTTCTTGCCATACAACTATAGCTGCTAGTACAGTTCAGGCTAGAGGGGGATATTTAAGTGCGGCTTCTTAATGAGTGTATGAGATTAGTGAGTAAAATAAGCTACATTCCTGTAGTCATAGTCAAGCTGAACTAAGATTTCTTCTGCTAAAAAGCTGTTTTCATTCTGTTTAGAATAAAGACAGTCAAGATGATGTTAAGTATTTAATTTGAATGTGAAAATGTCTTTTTTTTTCACATTTTTCAGCGTTGGTGTGATATCCTGGATACTTAGATCTTACTCAGAGATAATACATTAAGATATCATAGCTTTACTATAAGTGCCAAGTATTTTCAGCTCTGCAATTTAAGTGCAACTTGGTTAGCTTGCACTGTTGTCCTAGTGGCTTTGTGGTATTAATGGATATATTTTGGGTGGCTGTAGACAGTGCTTGATCTCCTGTTCTCATTTAAGCTATGTGGTCCCTGAAATTAGCCTATACAGAAAAATTAACCTTATATCATGTTAGGTTACATTTCCAAAGTTTTGCTTAGCAAACCAACTTTAGCCGTGTAACACAACTGTCTGCAGAATACACGTAGTACAGAACTGTAGAATTTTTGGGTGACCTTCACAGTGTTGCAGATGTAATGATTTCTTACCAGCGAGTTTATCGACCTGTTTTCATTACTTTCTAAATTTTATAGTATATGTTGTAAGATTCTTCACTACTTTATATTTTTGAAATGAGACAAGGTTGCAGTTAGGCTTTGAAAGCGTATTGCGGTGCCAAGTCCTTCAAAGTTGCTTGGGATTATTTAAATAAAAGTGCTTTCCTTGATTGTCTGTATTAATTCTATTGCTGTCTCTAGAACATTTTATTTTCTTGTATTGTTTAAGAGCCTGCTTGCTCTCTATGTACATCTGAAAAGTAAGAATGAACTTACTAAAGCTGTTGAAGGCAGAGGAGTCTCTTGCCTCATTTAGTCCATTATCTCTAATGGGATTATTTTTCATAGCGGGTTTTTGGTTTGTTTGTTTGTTTTAATAAAACCCAAACACGCAGAGTTTGAATGTATTTCCTTTCCCTTTTCTGTCTCTACACCCAGATCTTGAATACCTGATGCATGCACGGCAACAGCTACTAACCACAGCTAAGCGTTGGGATTCTACTTCTAAGACTATTGTAGAATTTGAGCCTAATGAAACTACTGAGTTGGAGAAGAGCCTTCTTACCAGATACCAAATCCCTCTGTCTGCTGACCAGCTATTTACACAATCTGTCCTGGACAAATCATTGACCAAGACCAACTATCAGTCACGGCTACATGACCTCCTTTATATTGAGGAAATAGCACAGTATAAGGAAGTTAGCAAGTAAGTGATGCTGCTCTTAAAATATTTCTTAGATATTTCTTGTTGTCCTATTAAAATGAGGATGGCAACTCCTTTGATTAAACCTACATGCTTATTTAAGATCCTAAGTCTTGGAAATGGTTTTGAATCTGAGTCTGGAAATAGTCACTTTTGATAAAGCTCACCAGCACTTAACAAATGTCATTTACTGATAACTCTTTTAAATAATATGTGTCAGCCTGTGCTTACAGTTGAAGACACTAAACTGCTCTTGTGCAATTTTTTGTAGTGTCTGGATAATAATTGTGTTTTTGTTTATAGCTTTTTGGCTCTATACAAAAAGATAATAATAGGAGTTGTGTTTTTGTTCCTTAGTGATAGGTTATAGCAAAGGAATATATAAAATCTTTGTATGAAAGGTTGAATTGTGGGTGGATCAAGCTCTGATCTTACAATGACGTGGCAGCTGACTTTATTCTCTAAATAAGCTGAAACTCAGCTTCTGAATAAAAGTTCCTAATGAAAGGCATATAGTATACGTCGTTTGTTTTGTTCCACCTTTAGGTATTATGTACATAGTACCCAGCTGGATGAGCTGCATGAACAGATACGGAATTAGGGAAAAGATGTGAGCTTCCTACCTATAGACTCTCATGGGGCCTTTTTTGATATTTGACATTAAAAGTTTTGCCTGCACTCATGTGGTAGGAAAGAGTGTTAAAGTGCTGCACTACTCAGAAAGTCAGAAAGGTGTGACTTCCCTTTAACCTGATTGGATGGCAAATTTAGTTCTAATTACTTAACTTCCAAATCAGTCTTTTGAAAGTGAACCACTCCTGGAGCTACTGAGGTTCGGCTGAATCGCCCCTCTAGAATTTAGGAACAAAATACTGTGAGCAGTTGTGTTTCTAACACATTTAAAGCAGAAAAATGGTACAGTTTCTTTTTTGTATCTCAGAGGAAGGGCAGTGTGTTTGAACTATTTTTCTTTATATCTTTCACTGCTGCTGCGCTCTGCTCTTGAGCTGGAATCTAACATATAGAGGAATCATGCTTGGACACTGTTTTCAGCACGCAGAAATACTCTCCTTTGTACGTATTTAGTATCAGGTTGACTTTGCTAATGCTTTTTAAAACAAAAGTGTGTTTAAAGTAAACATGAAATAGGATATAAGAGTAAACAGTATTTTTACTGAGTGAATTCTTGCGTTGAGGATTACGCTCTCAAGCTTCATCAGAACGCAAAGAGCAGCACGTCTGTAGAAATGAAAGAAGTGCATAATGCTTCCCCTTTGGACAGTTTGGTGAAGCACTAAGTTATTACTCTTCTTTTTCTGTCTGGTAGTTAATAAATGTAGGTTTTAATAATGTTCTTGAAATCTTCTGGTTTGATAGTGCTGATGACAGAAATATTCTTTTGATCTTGCAGCTGACCCACTTTATTGCAACGAGGCTCAAACTAGCCCGCTTTCCTCATCCTCTGCGGCTGGGATCACACAGTTGCTATTCTCTAGTGAAGTGCCAGGGTTGCAGCCTAGAAATGGGCCTAGAAATACAAACACAAGTGGGTTGTAATGAGTGAAAATGTTGATGAGCTGCTGCTCTCTAATGCCTTCACGTATGTGTATTGTAAGAGTAGCAGGGTTGTCAGCGTGGTCTCTTGTGAGAAGACAGGAATGACAGTAACGTCTGCGGTTCAGAGTGGGTGCTTTGCTGGGTTTTGAGAATGTTGATGATTTCTCAGAAAACACTGTTTCAGACTTTGTGTGGGGTCACCTGAGTGGAACTACTGAAAAGTACTGAATGGCGGCTGCAGTGGCTTTAAAAAAATCTTGAAGTCAGTTATAAGTGAATTCATTCTGGATAGTCTCAGAACTTTACTTTTAAATCCACGTAAGTAGATCGTTAAACAGAATAATAAAGGTTAGAATAAAGGAGCCACCGCTGTCTAACTTCCAAATTCAAACATTTGCTAGAAGTAAAAGCAAAACAATGGTCTGATCTAGATGCCAGTTTGGTTTTGGAGAGTTTTGTCCTGCATACATCTGTTGGTGGTTTTAAAACTCTTCCTTTCTTTCTTACACATTCAAAAGAAAAAGCAGTATATAATACTTAGAGTGGCTGGAACTTGCTGTGTGTTTTCTTGTGTGGACATGGAGTGTGTGGGGTGACGTACGGCTCCTTCCGTGCTGCTGCAGGAATTAGGAAGCAGGTTTATCCTCAAGGTTGCGAAAACCTGAAATACTAGCTTTGATGGAAAACAAATTTGCTTTTGTCAAAATTTGCTTTTTGTGGCTTATGTTTTCCAGTGAGAGGTAGGTGTCACACTGCACACCCTGTCTGAGCTCTGCGTGTGCAAATGGGAGAGGAAATCTGTTGAACGTACTTTTAGAAAGTGTTATACGGGGCTTTGTTCAGAATGGGTGTATTTGCCTTTTGGGAATTTGTTTGCATTGGCACTGGATGGATTAATGATTTATGAAGTGTTTAATTTCTGTGTTTGTAAGTATGAACAACAGGGTGGGTTTTTTTCATCTGGCTTCATTAACACCACAGTTAGGCTGGGATTTTGCAGTGCTTAGGAGTAAACCTAAATTTTTGTTCATTTGCATAAGTCTGACTGAAAATCTTATTTCATATAAACCTACAAAGAAGAGTGAGGAATGGATGAAAGAGGCAATTTCGGATTTTTTAAAATCTAAGCCTTACAGGGTTTTGTAGTTTAACGGTTTGCCAGAAGGTGTCATCTTACTCAATGGAAATTGCTTGATAATCTCTAAACTCTAGATTCCCTCCAGCACAGCAGATTCAGTTCCGTATTTCTGGAGACACTAGTTTGTGCCTTGTCTCAGAAAGGCAATTAATACAGTTTTCCAGCACATTTTTACAGATCCAGATGAAAATGAGCTGGTACACCTTCAGCAGTGCATGGACTCAACTTGAGGAAAGTTTCATCAAAATAAATTCACAATAGATTTTATCTTAGTGATAATGCTGAGCTTACTGTGTTAAAATGGTTACTGTGCTAAATGTTTTCTTTAAAATTTTAACAATCGTGAATGAGATAGGAGCTGGTTTAGATGGTGCTAATTTGCCTTCTGAGTAGTGCAGCGTTTGCATAGAAGAAAGCTTGGGTTTTGTTTCGTTTTGGGCTTGTGGTTTTTTTAGTACGCGTGGAAATTGAAAAGCTGGCGCTTGATTCTAATGTGTTCCCTGAAGTCCGTGCTTCTGAGTGGTTGCTTTTTCTGTAGCTTGTGCAGTCCTCTTTGGAGTTACTGATGAACCAAACAAATCCATGGTCAGTAAGAAGACATCGCTTGTTTTTTGAGAGTGGAGGAGTGTGAAATTTGATTCTGACTTGATGCCCACGTTATGTAAAGAAGCAACTATTACCACAGGGGGGCAAGCTTGCAGTTTTTGTGCCAGATATAAGTGTTTGATTGCTTTGGTAGATGTTTAATTACCAAGCGAGCTAAAGTGTTTTATTATTACAGACTTAGGTTTATTGATACTACAGGGCTTATACAATAAATTAGCAGTTTATTAGGTTAAAATAGAAATTAAGAACAGATCAAATAAACTCAGCATGAATATGAAAAGCATAATAAGAAAATGATGGTTTTAAAAGAGATTTTATTTGTTTATTTGTTTATTTTGTTTCAAATTCAGGAAGAAGTTGCTGATGAGAACTGAATATTGTTAGTGTGACAGACCTTTTTCCCCTTTTGTTCTTTTTAAAACCAGGTTGAAAAACCCCCAAACACTGTAGGAGGAGATTACTGTGTATTGCTGAGAGGCCAATAAAGTGTGCCAATAAGTCACTTTAATGTGTTATGTATGTGACTTCTAGAAAATGGTAACTACAAAGGATGAATTTGCTACATCTGTGATTACAGAAGGAACTTGCTGCTAATAGGAATTCTGTGGATAGATGGTTTATTCTGTGGATAGATGGTTTATTGTGGCTGAGCCTCTGAAGCCATTCCCTCATTTCAGTAAAATTATCTCATGTTAATGCTTACATTCTGATTTTTTTTTGGAGACATCTTAATCAATCCCTCTGAGTTATAGCTCTAATACCATTTACCTTTCCAGATGTCAATTACTGTCTTTGGTGTGCAGCCTGGAAGAGATACATGAAATAAATAGAATCTTACACTGTTCTTTGCCTGCACATCTCTCCTTGACTACCTAACATAAGCTTACAAGCTGTTTAAATAGAATTTTTTACTGCTTTGGGACTTGCACGCAACTCTAATTCATCTTAAACACATTAAATTTCTGAATTTGAGAGCATTTTTCTGCACTGACTCGATGCTTTCTTACTTAGGTTCAACATAAAAGTGCAATTGCAGATTGTAGCAAGCTTCATGCTCACCGGAGTTTCTGGTGGTGCAAAGTATGCCCAAAATGGGCAACTTTTTGGCCGCTTTAAGCTCACTGAAACGCTTTCGGAAGACACTTTGGCTGGACGGCTGGTGATGACCAAAGTCAATGCTGTTTATTTATTGCCTGTCACTAAAGAGAAGTCGGCACAGACCCAAGGAACCAAAGAGAAGGTTTATGAAGCAGCTATTGAGGAGAAAACAAAGGATTATATCTTCTTGAGGGTATCCAGGGAATGCTGCGAAGAACTTAATCTTCGAGCAGATTGTGAAATGCAGGTAAGTCTGAACGGAGGTGGTTTTGGTGTGGGAAGTGATTACGTTGTGTCTGGTTTGGCTTCACCCAAAGTAATTGCTTGAAGGTGTAGAAGGGAATCTTATTCATCATCGGATACAGAAAGCAGAGCATGGAGGGGATCTTCAAATAGGTGAAATCGTTTTATACTTAATGATATACATACATATGTGTGTGTGTGTGTGTGCGTGTGTTGTATGTGCGTAGACTGACTTGGTTGGTAGGTGAAGGCACGAGGAAGGTGAATAAGTACTTTTATATCTATCTATCTTGTGTTTCAGAATGACGGGACTTGCCTCCATGGTTCCCACTCTTGATGCTTATATGCAAGACAGATATTGATCTGTCGATGTGGCATTCAGTCACAGAATGAGGGGTTGTAATCCTTTTGCCAGAGAAAATTGTGTTGGCAGTAAGATCAGCCTTTTGTTTACTTTGCAGTTAAAATGAAATGTGTGAGGATACTTTTTTTTAAAAAATAAAAAAAATACCGTGTAGTTTGCAAACAAGTTAGTGCGTTAGATGTAAATGCACGTAAGGGAAGCTAGAACTCTACTTAAGTTAAATACTTAAACTCGTTACCCATCCACAGTTCCTCTGCTATAGACCTTGTGATTGGTCTTGTTACCAAACAGAAATAACCTAAAATTAAGGTCACTGGAATTGCTTGAAGTGAATGCATTTTCACCAAACAATTATCTTCTCCCATTCATTTTGTTTTGGGGAAACATATGCAAGAATCTTAATGTCTTAATTTAACATGGATAATTAGTCTGGGAAGACTTGCGTTGTTCTGAGCTCTTGGCTTTGTGTTTGTTTTCTTAAAACAATAATTAAACTTACTAATTGATTCTATCAGAAACTCCATTGGAATGCAAAATGAGCTGGAGCTGCAGTAAGAGGCTTATTTTTCTTTGAGAGTCTTACAAAACTTTGCCTGAGGCAGCAAATATATTCTGCATTAAAAATTGAGTCCTAAAGTTATTTGTGAAATCATTTAGTACTTCATACGTGTATCAGTGAACTAGTGGTCAAATCCTTAAAGCGTTAACCTGTGTTTTAATGAATTCTAATTGTGAGGAAAATTTTTTCCTGGTTAAGTATTGACTGAAAATTTGGAAAGGAATCCTCAGGTTAGAGCTGAGGTTGTTACGATTTGGGTGAGGAGCATTTTTTTTAAATATGCTGGAAATTTTGCTGTTGTCTTTAGCGAAGTTAGTATTCCCTATGTGAGTCTTAAACGTTAACAAAATAGCTTTTATTTCTGGATAGGTGGTTTGTCTTTTTCCTCTTCTAAAAAGTCATCTCGGAAACTTACTGATCACTCGTTTGCCTGTTGTCCTGACTTAACTGCAGTCAGCACAGTTCTGCTTTGCCCAGGTGCACCTTTTGTGATGGTGCGATGGAGTGAGCTGGTGCTGTAAGCTCTTCTGGCTGTTACTCTCTTTGGTGACCAAACTAACACGCAACTGTTTTATTTTTGGAGTGGTTACTCTGTTCTTTGTCCTCCTCTGTGAAACTGGCAATGGATTAACTTCCTTTCCCACTGTTTTCTTATCGTGGGGCACGTATTAAAGCAGGTTATATGCTTCTCCTTCACAGCTGGCCTCATTCAGTGCTCTGCAAAAGCAAATATAACTAATTGATTAAATCCAAACTGGATTAAAAACAAATCACAAGCTGTTAAAGAAAGTGCAGAATGCAGGTGGATAATAAGAGGCATTTAATGCTAGGCACCTTGCTCGGACTCCCAGAAGGGGCTGTTAAAGCGTCGCTCAGATGAGCATCACAGCTTTTCTGCATTTAAATTGTCCCTGTTATGTTGGGTGGCCTTTTGTTAGCCCTGGGTCTGTCTGAGGAAGAATATTTTTTCCTATGTAGACCAAATGTTGGGACTGTTACTGTTGGTGTGGAAGTCTTCTTCCAAACATCTGTGGGCTGCGGGCGGACCGAGCGGTGCTGGGTAGAAATGGGGAGGGCAGAGCTTTGGGGAGAAGCTCCAAGTGCCCCTGGAGCAGGATGAGCTGACGCTGTCGTTTTTGACAAGTGCTAAACCAACCTGCTTGCCAGGGTATTTATTTACTAAGGTAGTAGTGGGTAGGCATAAACTACACAGCGTAGGAGCGAGGGGAAAAAAATTCTTAAATGTTCATGTGTCCAACATAAAAACAAGTTTTCTAGCAGTTACAGTGAACTTTGTGCTTAATGTTGTACAGATTTGTTACTGCCCTTTTCTGCAGTTATACATCTCGCTGTACAACTTGATAGTCAGGATGAATATTTCATGGCTTAGATCTGCCAGAGACTGAAAGTTAATGTCTGCATTCCACACTGACACAAGCAAACATTGTTTATTTACAGCAAAGCTAGCGTTGGTTTTATGTGCTACATAATAATATAAACAGTGTAATATTTAAATATATTTGAAAAAAAATGCTAAGAGCTGTGCTTCTCAAATCCTTTTGAAGATGGTCTTCAAGTAGTAAACTTTACTAGTGCATGAGGGTGCACGAATGCTCATTAGAGTTGTAGCACAGTAATTACATAAATATTTAGTGATAGCAATGCTTTGGAAAAAAAACTGGAAAAAGTATGTCAGTCACTTGAAGCTCTTCAGTAGCTTTGGGTGGTTTTATGCTGGTTTATATTATTGCATATCTGTGTCAAAATGTGTATAAAGGCTTCTGCGTTAGTTGTTAATTTGTAGTTCTTTGGCGCAGTGCTCTGATCAGGTTCATTTGTTTTTGGAGAGATTAAGACTTGCAAATTTAAGTATGTGTAAATGATAATTTATGTCATCTATGGATCTGTAAAAATTTCTGTCCTGTCACTTTTTTGAGGTTGTCCTTACAATAAGGACTGGAGGTTTATATTTTTAAAAACAGTGTTTTAGGACAATAATACTTTACAGAAGTGTTTTTTGCATTCAAAAATAATTCCAGGAATGTTTTCCATTTAAGTATTTTTCTGAAAGTACAGTGGAATCTTATCTTAAAAGTCAAACAACAAAATTCTATTAGAGAAAATGTTGCACTTGGCTTTTCTTCAAAGCAGAAAGAAAGGAGCAAGTTAATTTTATCACTTATCTTTTGACTGACTGATGCTGTTTGCTTCTGAGAATCAGTAGTTTCCAGGAAGATAAAGATGTGTCATAAGCAGCAAAGCCTAATGAGTGTTTTCCAAATGAATTTGTTTTAGTTCATCTTGTCATTTATTCATTCATTTTGTGCTGCAGGTTGAACTTCAGTTTCAGTTAAATCGCTTACCCCTCTGTGAAATGCATTATGCCTTGGACAGGATTAAGGACAACAGTATTTTGTTTCCAGATGTCAGCATGACTCCCACCATACCCTGGAGTCCCAACAGGTACAAGAATACAAACACTTTAATATCAAAAATTGTATGGTACTGCAGTACTGAATTTCTCGTAACAGATGGCTGAAATCTGTCCTAGAACAAGAAACGTGTCCTGCTCTCATTAACGATGAGGATGGTTCCGAGAAGGGAGTCAAACTGTTCTAAATGAAACAAGGAAAGTGATCCTCTGAGGACTAGAAGCTGTTGATTGGTTTTCCCTGTGGTTGAGCTGTGATTTTGTAGGCCTTGCAGTTGTATCGCAGCTGTAGAAAACAAATCTGCTTTTGTTATTTACCATTCTGCAGTTTTTCACTGAAAATACGCCCGATACTTTATAGGAACGTAAATGCAATTACAAGGAGTTTGCTGTGCGGGATCTCAAGCGTGCAGACTCCTATTTGCAAGGAGCGATCCGTTAGTACTTCTTGAGGTTGCAGCGAGCCCGGATTTGGCCACATCACTGAGGGGGGTGACTAGGAAGACTGTGGGAAGGAGTCTGGGAAGCGCCAGCATTGTGCTTACAGGTGGCCCTGAGGTTTTTTGTAGACGTGTCGTGCAGTTTTCTTTATGAAATTGTAACTCCCTATGTTACATAAATACTTGTAAGGAAACTTAAGGCTGATAGAGTCAAAATGGTTTGTCTCGAAGAGGAAGCTTAGGGCAGGGAAATGTGAGGCTGGGTTGCTCAGGGAATATGGTCAGGATTCTTGCTGCGTAGGGAAGGATAAGCGAGGCATGAGGTTTCTGTACTTGGAAACCAGGGAACTGGGGGAGGTGTGGAACTGATAGCCTGGCCAGCCTGCGAGGAGTCTGGTGTCCCAAAGGTGAGAATTAAGAGTGTGCTTGTGATGCCGTACGAATCAGAAGATAGCTCAAGGATTAAAAGGAAAACGATCTGGCCGGAAACCTGAGAGAGCATGAAAATGTACAACACAAATTACTGGGAAAATTTTAATCTGTCTTTGAAAGTGTAGGAAGAAGAGAGACGACAAAAGGGTGGGAGCAGTGTTCTGGGTGCGGGTGATTGCTGCATCCATCGGGCGGAAAGAAGGGGGTAGGCTTTCCGCAGAGTTATACTGCAAAGCTGACGAAGGTCAAGGACGATCTGTTCACTGGCTTTGCTAAGTTTTAGGTGACTCTTACAAGGAAATAGTGTTAAAGGAGTGATTTCAATAGAAACAAGGTAAGTCAAGTAAGCTAGAACTTCATCTTCTCTGGTTTATGTCAGGGAATTTGTGTTTACAGAAATTTACGTATGTGTTATAGTTGATGTAATTTATTTGTGTAATGTTTTATATTTTATATACGTAAATCATACATAGAATGGTTGTAGTTCATTTTAAGTCAGTGTAATAAGCATTTTTTTTCCATCTGGTGGCTTGGTTTGCCCTATGTTAAGAATCAGTACTTCTGACTGACTCAGAACTGGCTTTGCCTCTATATTTCTTCTATTTTTGTTTTGCGTGCCTATTGCTTTGCAGTATTTCTTAGAGTCTCCTGCCAGCTTCTTGTAAAAGTTAGGAATTCAGTCAATTCCCTCTTTAAACTCCCTGTCGCTAAGTGCTGCTGAACAGAAACTTCCCCAGTCTGTAAGAAGCGTAGCGCTCACGCCGAAGCAGATCACGTTACTAACGTATGGCCGTGTGTGCAGCCGGAACAGGTGGTTTTTTTACTACGCGTGTGTACTTTTAAATCTGTCAGTGGGAATATTAAAAACCATGTCTAAAAGTGTTTAACCTTTTATTCTCGCTGGAATTTTCTGAAAGCATCTTCCTCTTAATGCTGTTATCACTAACTGGTTACAACACAAATCCTTTTTTTAGACTGCTTTCCCATTAGAGGTATATGCCTCAATGATCCCAGAAACAACAATAAAAAAAAAGTGAAAAGAAGCCTGTAGTTAACTGGTAGCCGTTATTTTTAAATTTTTTAATAATTTCATTGTCTATAACTTTTAGCATTTAACCTTTTATTCTCGCTGGAATTTTCTGAAAGCATCTTCCTCTTAATGCTGTTATCACTAACTGGTTACAACACAAATCCTTTTTTTAGACTGCTTTCCCATTAGACGTATATGCCTCAATGATCTCAGAAACAACAATTAAAAAAAAAGTGAAAAGAAGTCTGTAGTTAACTGGTAGCCGTTATTTTTAATTTTTAAAATAATTTAATTGTTTATAGCTTTTAGCAAGCCCTGGAGTTTTGTAACTGTTGACTTTCAAGTTGAAAATGTAAATACTGCAGAGAGGGAAGATAACTAATGTTACATTTTGCATAATAACAGAAAATCATTTTATGCCTACTTGACTTTGCTACCAGGTGATGGGGCAGCATATATCCTCTCTACAATGTGCAGGTTAATTACTGTTAGGTGGGATAATGTAAATTGAGAAGTAGTTACATTCTTTTCTGAAAAAAAAAATAGCCCCAAACAAACTCAGCTGATTTATTGCAAATATTACCAAATTTTTGTGATTTAAGACGTGTGCTCGTTTTGCTGGATCAGTTGATTTGTTTCAGCGTGCCTCAGACTGATGCAATCAATTCGGCCCTTTAATTTCTTTAAAGCTTTTGAAATCTTCCCTCCTTTCATTTGACTGACAACGGGTTGTCATCACTTCTGTTTTTTCAAGTCTCTTCTCTCTTGTACAGACAATGGGATGAGCAGTTGGACCCTCGACTAAATGCGAAGCAGAAAGAGGCTGTTCTGGCTATCACTACTCCACTTTCAATACAACTGCCTCCTGTTCTTATCATCGGTCCCTATGGGACAGGAAAAACCTTCACTCTGGCTCAGGCAGTCAAGCACATACTCCAACAACAGGATACTAGGTGAGACGGGGCGCTAAATATAGAGCGATACTTGATTAGCAGAGATGATGTAATTTGTAACTTAAATTCAAGTGAGAGGTAGAAATCTAGAATTTCCATCCAGCTTGAAAACAAACAAAACCCAAGCCATCGTCGTTGTTTTGAATGGTAAAGTAATCGTAAAGCCTTAGCGAGCGTTTTCTATTTAGAAGAAAACTGATTAAAATTGACAACATGTAGAACGACTGATTTGCTCAACGTGGGATGTTTTGCAGTATGCTAGATAATAAAAGCTGTTCCTTACTTAAAGTCAAGTCTAGATTAATAATCACAAAATAATTGTTGGAAAACTGTTTGAACTTTAAATCTTTTCATAACTGAAGCATTTGAGTCATGCGAACTCTGGTAGGCTAGTGACTAGTTTCATTAAGACAAATATGCAGGAAGATGGCCACTGTTTCCTTTTTTTTATATTCTACTGCTTTGAATTGTTTTCTGTTTCTTCATTGCTTTTTTATTTGCACCATTTATTCCAGCAGGATTCTCATTTGCACCCATTCTAATAGTGCTGCTGATCTCTACATAAAGGATTATTTACATCCATATGTAGAAGCAGGCAATCCCCAGGCAAGACCTCTCAGGTATTTTTTTAAGGCTTATTACGTATCTATAACATACTATTCTTAAGAAAAGGTGTCTATAAAAAAAGGTTAACGAACTTTTAAAACATAAAAGCATATTGGCATTACCAGCAGTGCTTTTAAAGACATAGATTAAAAGGAATGTGAAACATTATCAAAATAATATTGGGTCATTTGTTAAATAAAAATAAAGACATCCTTTTTTAAGCTTTTGTTATTCTCTTGATAAATGTGTCTTTCCTAATGAGCAAGTTTTTGATATGCTCCTCTAAAAGCTACTATGATAACATAAAATGGACTTGAATTGTATTTTAATTCCAGAAGAATTGGAACCACATTAACAATGATAATTTGGAAACTGGGGCTACTACCCACTTGGCTTTCTGAAGAATAATTCTGATGTCATGGGAGCTACGTATTTAGAGAATGATGTGACGGTAGTTTGGCCTCTTCTGACGAGTCATTGTGTCTGTGGGGAAATGTACTTATCGTGGGTGTTTTGGCAAAAAAGTTAAGGGGAAAAATGAGGAAGAGGTGGAAACTTGAAGAGCAAGGAGGGTAAACGTAAACGTGCATAGAAATAGTTAAGGAGGATTTATTTATGGGCAGAATCCCGCTCCTGGGAATGTTTTTTGTGCATGAATCACAGTATGTACTGTATACTACTAGCTTGGTATATATATTTTTTTAAAAAATTATGAGCATCATTTCCTTAGTGTCAGTGTGCGAGTTTATTATATTACTAAGAAAAAGGCTCTGTATGTTTACTTAGTAGCTATTAAAAGCCATATTTTATGCAATGTCAGTGAAGCCAATGAAGTTATGTGAAAAGGCTAGATTTACAACAGGTGTAAATTCTCTTAGGTTTGCTGCCTTTAGTTGTCATGTGATATTTAACAGACACTGAGGATCTGGCCAAGGAAAAGGCAGCTCATTTTTGCAAAGTTACCTTTGGTTGTGTTTTAGCACAGATTAATCTCAAGGTGATTTGTAAAGCACTTTGTGATGAAAAGCATTATGGTGTCTTAACTTTGCGGTGGGAGAAATGTGTGTAATCGACATTTTTGGGAATATTGACATGTGACTTAACAGAGCAAGTTGTTGAATACAGTTTTATTACAGTTGCCAGGCTTTTGCTGCCTTCTTTTATGTGCCATATTCAACTATATAGTCCACTCTCCGAAATATTTAGGAAAAACATATGTAAACAAAAATGTATTTTTCTTATGGTTGCAATAAGTATCCGTATTTGCCAAGAAAATTACAGCACGTAATTTAAAAGTGTTGTGAAGCCTTCAGAAATAGCTGTGGATTGTATGATACTCCTCAAATAGTCATGATACCTCTATAAAACATTAAAGTTTTAGAAAATTAAGGTACCTCTGGAATTGTGTATATTTATTTATGGTTCCACAAGTATTTGTTTTCAAAAAAATATTCGGATAGAGAAGCAGATGTTGTTTGAAAGGTAACTGTATGTCAGCCTGAGCTGGCAGGAGCTCAAGGGTCGATTTATCTGAACTGGGTGAGGCTCCCAGCGTAAAATCAATTATGGATCTGTTGCTTTTCCTATTGACTATTGTCAAGATATATTTTCAAATTAAGGTCATTCCTTTTAGTTTAAATAGGGTGGTCTGAGCCTCTTGCAATATTTTAAAGGAAACTTCAAATGGAGTAGAAGTGGTTAATTATCCAAGCTGGATTTGCTGCTCAGGGAGTTTGAGGTGTTTCTAAATGGCTGAACAGTTTGGTTTAGATTTTATTTTTTCCTTATTTACTCTGCAGGTGATGAGTTGATGGAATGGTATCCTTACTAAAAACGTTTCCATAGCTTAGTGGGCAGCACCATAATATTTATGTTGTTTTTAAAGAAGGAAAGCTTAATTATTTAATATTGACTGAGTACTGAGACCTGTGTAAATATTTCTGTGAATTTCTGTAAGAGGTACACTAAAGAAATTATCCTGTCAATGACGCAACATAGAAGTTGGAAGCCTAGAGCTGGGGATTTTTTGTTTAAACACCATGTTATAAATTCGTAATTTTTTTTCCTAATAAAATACCTTTCTATGCCTTTTGAAAAATGCACAGTCAGAAAGAACACTGAGACTTTATATTGAGTTTAAGTTCTGCACCTAAATAAAATGCCAATGAAGCCGGAAGGCCACATTATCACAGTCCTAATGTCCTCAAACAAGTTTGTACCCAGAAAAAAATCAGGATACCCCTCGGTTTGATTGAGTGATTCATCTGCATTAGGGGCACACTCACAAACCTAGCTCTTACTGAAGAAACTTGTCTTGATTCTGGTTAAATATCTCAGCTGAGACATCTCCAGTTCGTTTTTAAAATATTTTGAGCACTGCACGTGGCCTGGAATCAGGTAGCTTTGGTATGGAGATACCTGAGCTATAAAAAATAGTCAACTGGAGCAAACCAGGGTTTGGATTAAAAAAAACAACAACCCCACCCAGAAGAAAAACACAGACCAAAGCAAAAGACTAACAGGTTTTAAAGGACTGCTGCCCATTTTTCCCAATCGCCCGGATTAAAGTTCTCGTATTGAAAACGGTATTAATTTGGTTTATAAAATGTTAGTTTGTAAAATAAATCCTGCTTTATCCAGTTACTTTTTTTCCTTGAAACTCTAGCTTCTATCTTATGCCATCCTCAGAGAAGGATTGATGAAAAAAGTGAACTTTCAGGTTGTAAGACCGGTTCTTGCCAAGTTTTATGCTTCGTAAGGAGCACACTTGTTTGTGAGAATGAGCCTCCCTTTGGAGGTGGGTCAAACGGAATTTCTTTAGGCTTCTTGGGACTGCTTAGATTTTATTTTATTTTTTAATTTTTAATGGTCTTTTAACAGAGACATGAAGTTAGACTGCCAGATTCCTTTTTCTGTAGATTTCTGTGTTCTCTTTGCATGAGGGATTTCAGGTGAGAAAGAACTGCACAAAATCTGAGGAGCCGGGGTGGGAGTTATTCCAAGAAGAGTTCTTTGGAGCGCAGCCTGAAGGGAGAATGCTGGCATTTTATCAAGAACGGGGAGGAGTTAGCTGTTCCCAGTTCAGAACAGGGAAAATAAGTTTTGAAGAACTTGAATGTAGTCTCCATTCACTCCATTGTAAGGAGTCCGGAGAAGTTGCTTTTGTAGGACAGGAGTGCAAATGAAACTCAGATTGGCCTGTCTCAGAGGTTCTGCCTCCAGACTCCCTCTTTATTAACTTTTAGGTGTGTATTTTAAGTGATTTAGGAGCAATCCTAGCCTGAAATGCGAGAAAGAAATGTGATTGATTAATTACCGATATAAATTCACTACTTTTGCAAGTAGTCTGTTTTACAAACTAATTCTTTGATGGAACTTTATCGACTGAAGGAAAACATGAAAGATTAAGGGATATTCAATTCAACTAATGTTTAATAGAAATATTTGCACAGATTCCTTTTTTGATGTAATAGCTGGAAAGTTGATGGGAACAGAGATAGCTGCGATTTTATTCCTTTCTTTGGTTCATTTGCCACAGAAATGAGGGCTTTTGTTGTAGATATCGGGATGGCACATTCAGAAATAAAGGTGGTATGAATTTCCCTGCGAAATGCAGATTTTGCGCGTGTTAACCCAGCATTAGGAAATACAGTGGTTATATTCAGTGCTCTTGTTGGCAAAAGATTGAATCCCTAATCTATAATCTTCTGGGATTTCCATTTCAATGTGATTTTCTCCATATCTGCTAGTAATTTCCCTGCCTGTGGTTTGGGTAAACCTTAGCCTTCAAGGTTTTAATGTCTCCAAGATTTAAGTATTGATGTGAGGCACAGGATACGCTCCCACATGAGCTGTGGCTGAGTTTTGGGTTTGTAGCTGCAGGTTTTACTCATCTTTGTTACCTATAGGTTCACACTAACAGAATGTGCTGATGAATAGGTACTAGTGAATACATTGATTAGTAACTGTGCTGGCATGCAGGCACTTGGCTTATGCAGATTTTAAGTTCGGAAGGTCATTGGCTTTTTTGATCAGAAGTTAAAAGTGTGTTGCAGGGTGAAACATTATGATTTGTTAAGCTGGTAAAGCCCATTTTTATAATGGGTTCCTCTAAGAAAAAAAAAACATAATACCAAAATTACAGGAGATTTTACTAGCCCAAATTGCACCTGAGAAAGAAATCCCTCGTTCAGTGTGGCTTACTTCTATCACGACATTTTCAAAGTAGTCACATCTGTCAGGTGTTTTTATGCCAGTGGTGAATAATAGCTCTGGGATACCTTTTTGATCTCACATCAAAATAAAAGAAATTAATGGGTAAGCGGCAATGCAGTTTGAAATGCTGTCAGCCAATCTGTGAGTCACACATAGTTGAATTTTTGTAATAAAAGACAGCGCATGGTATAATAATGTCTAATAACCATAATATTTTGCATTTCAATAGCACCTTTCATCCAAGAATCTCAAAGTGCTTTACAAACATAAACTCACAATAAACCCATTAATCCTCACAGTACTCCTGTGAGATGGTGGGTAAGTATTACCCTCGGTTCAACTTGAGAAACTGAGTCCTGCGGAAGCTGCCTGAGCAGCTGGGATAAGGAGAGCAGGGATTACCTTCCTGCTGCTCCCTTCTTGTAGCTGTTAGGCCACAACTTTGTGTTGTTGCATCGATGTAGAAAGAGTTTATCAAATAAAGCGTATTGGCTTGGCTGATAAATAAATATATCGGGGTTACATTAGGAGATTCTCATTCTGCGGGTGGCT